TTAAAGCGCGTTTTCAGAGCCTTGTAAATTGCCAAGTCGCTTGAGAGCCAATCTCTTTATCCCTTGAACCAGATAACGCAGACCTCAGATTTGCAAGACAGTTACTCCTCCACGCCGAAGGAAAGCCCCACCGGAAGAAGTGGATGCCTTGTGATTTACATTAAAATCTTAACACCATAAAGATTATTCCTTGGCTAATTATCCAAGATAAAAGTTGACAGAACCGCTTTGAGCAACGCAATCACAAATCGGATAACTTTGCTCCAGGAAAAGTCCACTCCAAAGCTGCCAAATTTTGAAAAAGGATTCCCTAGAGCTGATTTCTCTTGGACCGCTAAGCATTCTGTCTCTTTGGTTGCATACTACCTTTTGGCCAAGTGTGCTATATGACTAGAGGGATTTAAAGTGTGAACTGAAGGTCAGATAGCTAACCTGAGTGGATTAGCAGATAGCTTTCAGTGGACATACAATATCTGTGGGATCTGGAACTAAAGATGGTTACAAAGACAAAGTTGTATGCGGGGTGACATCAATTCTGAGTTACTCTGTTTAGCACCAGGTGGAGGACAGGCATTTAAAATGGTTCGCTGAATTAGTGAGCCGAGTTCTGTTTGGTTAAGCACTGGTCACACAGTTCACAGCAAACAGCAAATTTCTTCATGACCTACTTTATGTGCCACACTTATTTCTGGACTAAATGGACTGGCCCACCTTTCCTAAATCATTTATGAGGTCAGAGTGGAGGAGGAACAAAACTTGATTTCATCTGTTCTGGTTATCTATTGTTGATACAAACCACCTGAAAAATTTGTGGCTTTGAACAATTATTTTGCTCACTAATTTGCAGCTTGGGCAGGGCTTGGCAGGGACAGCTAGTCTCTGTTCCACTTGGTAACAGCTGGGGCAGCTGGAGTGGAGCTAGAGGAACCTCTTACAAGTTCACTCACGTGCTTGGCAAATTAGTGTTGGCTCTTGGCTGGGAGCTCAGCTGTGGATGTTGGCCGGAGAACTGGGGGTCTCAGTTCCTCTCCATGTAGGTCTTCCCTGGGATTCTTGGGTTTTCTCACATCATGGTGGCTGGGTCCAAGAGCAAGTATTTCAAGAGACAGGAAGTGGAAGCTGGCAATCACTTAAAGGCCTAGTACTGGAAACTGGAACAGTATAGCTTCCACTGTATCCTACTGATCAAGCAGACACGGAGCCACCCAGATTTAAGGAGAAGGGACATAAACTTCATTTCTTGATGGGAGAAATGTCAAAGAATTTGTGGCCATCTTTTAATCCATTTCACAGTACCTGGCTCTAGGATCAAATGAGGGTAAAATAGGTACCCACTTAATCAGGCACACGCCAGATACTGTGCTAAATGTTTATAAGTTCATTGTCTCATTTTCAAATATTTGAAACTGAGAAAAAAACCCTATGAGGTGGGTATTATCTCCATTTTACAGACTGGGAAACCAAGGCTTAGTGGGACCTGGATCTAGGCCCACTCGAGGGCCTGTTTCAACCATCATGCTATAAGCCCCTAATCCTTGGGTTGTTAAACCACACTCCTAGAAATCAGAACATGATGTTTTCTGTTGAAAATAGAATGGTGGTCTTTTTCCCACTTGTAGAAAACTTAAAAAATTGACTTGAATATACTAAATGATGGTTTTCCATTAATAATTTTCTAAATCCTTTGTGGATTAGCATTATGAATTAGTCTAAGTGAAGTGGGGCTCATGCCTGTAATCATAGCAATTTGGGATGCCTAGGTGGAAGGATTGCTTGAGGCCAGGAGTTCGAGACCAGCCTGAGCAACATAGTGAGACACCATCTCTACAAAAAAAATTTTTTTTTCTGAGTGAATGAATAAATAGTAAAAGATGAATGATGGGCAATCTTGGAAAGAGCTGATCTTAGGTGGAGTTTGTTTTCATGGTACACAGTCAAGATGGTTGAAACTCATGGAAAAGTAATTTTCTGCTGGTGAAATTGTTTCCATTTCTGTGACTGAATCGTTTCCTGGCACTCTGCAAATGGCACTGTGACTTTCTCCTGCTCTAAGTCATTCAAAAAAGTGGCAATTCACTAAAAAAACTTTTTTGGGTGGAATCCTAGATTTCCCCAATGAATCACTGGGAAAATGCCATAATTTTTTGTTTTTCCCCTGGTAACACTCTATTAGCAGTTAAAGTCTAGCTTTTAATTTCTCTTAAAATGCTTATAATTCTGTGCAGAATATGGATGTACTATTTGCTGTCTTCCACATATCTTGCTAACCCCTAGTTTTTTCTTTTATGTGGAGCACGTCTTTCTTTCCCTTTGAAGTAGCTCCATGATTACAACTCTGCTTCCATCCTGGGTGATTTAATCAATTTAATATTGAAGTCTTTTTGTTTTATGGTTTAGAAGTTAAGAATTGGAAAAGTAGGCCAAGGTGGGAGGATGATTTGAGCTCAAGAGTTGGAGACCAGCCTGAGCAAGAACGAGACCCCGTCTCTACAAAACAATAGAAATATTAGCCGGGCATGGTGTTACGTGCCTGTAGCCCAGCTATTTGGGAGGCTGAGGCAGGAGGATTGCTGGAGCCCAGGAGTTTGAGGTTGCAGTGACCTAGGATGACACCACTGTACTCTAGCCGTGGTGACAGAGTGAGACTGTCTCAAAAAAATAAATAAATAAAAATAAATTGGTCAATTGGTAAAGTGAATCATCTTAGGAACAAAGTTCAAGGGTAGGCTTTTAGAAAGCTGTTAGGCTCTTGCATCCCTTTGACAACTGGCAGATTACCTATTGATTCCATCTATTTTTCTCAATCTCCACTGAATTTACAGACCACCTTCACCTTTCAGCTGGACTACTTTAAAGTTTCCTTACTGGTCTTACTATTTTCATTTTTTGCTTATCCTCTATCCCCACCCCATCCCTCCATTCCATTCTCCAAATAGAAGCCAGAGCCATCTTTTAGAATTATTTATCAAGGTACTTCTATGCTTAAACTCCTTTGCTTTCTACTGCATTTAGTATAAAATACAAAATCCTTAACGTGACCCAACACTGGAGCATACTATCCTAACCCACTTGCTTATTTTACTAGTTACAGGGGCCTTCCATCAGATCCCGAAGCCCACTGAGCTCCTTTCCTCCTTACTTACGATCTTTGCCTGTAATGTTCACCTAGCTACCCGATCCTAGAAGCTCGTCCTCAGTCTCTCTTCCTGGCTATATCCTACTTTCCTACTTCCTCTTTTTAGTTTTATTAATGTTACTTCCTCAGTGAAGTTTCCTCTGACATCCCCCCGCCCCCAACCACCTAAACTAGGTCCCCCTCATTCTCTCTAGGACCCTATTCTTTTCCTTCAGGGCACTAATAATTTGTTACAATGAACACAAACATACTGTCTTCTCCCCACCACCAGACCTAAGCTCCACAGATGTTTTGTACACCACATAGGCACAATGCCCTGCACAAATAAAAATTTCCTGGATGAATAAGTGATTAACTTTATTCTTAATTCTAATACTTGACTTTCTTATACTCTGAAAAGTAGCCCATAAAATTTGAGGGTATAATGTCTTGGAACCTTAGCAGTAGGCATCAATGAAAGTTGTGAGATCTTAGTCAAAAAAGGCAACAGATGTTTTATTCTTCAATGCAAATTACTGTCATCACCACAAGCTAAAGAAGAGGACATATCTCTCTCTATATTTATATATATTTTTGGATTTATGGAAGACTAAAGACATGGGAGAAAATCCAGCACCCAACATGTACAGCCAGTAAGGAAATCAGCTCTGTAATAGGACAGGTTTAATGAACTACAAACAAGAAAGGGTGGGAAAGGAAGAAAAAAATGTGCATTGAGCTTAAGACACTGTAAAACTCAGAAGACATATTTACTATTCAAGTATAAACTCTGTAAGGACTTGGCATAAATTGAAAGGCAGCTGCTGAGGTACACCATTATAAAATAAGTTCTATGAATTTACAATTCTACCTTCCAATTTTCTGGGAGAAAAAACCAAACTGTTGAAGGTCTTCATCAGAGACCCTGAGAGGGATTAACACTTTTGATGAAGACATAGTCACAATTCATGATTGAATTTACTATTCAAAAACATGTATTTATTTTAAACAATAGGAATACGTGTTCTCAGACTGTCCTCTAGAGTTTTAGAGACTATTAATTCAATAGTTTCAAAGTGTATTACTTCCAAAAACAATACTGATTAAAAAAAATTTTTTTAAACAACAACAAAAAAAACACCTGATTTGATGGTACCTTAAAAATACCCTAAATACCAAATTTTCTCCAGTCTAACATTGTAATTTATGAATTCCTCCTGCATTGGTAAAACAGTTTTTTCCTCACAAAATGTGGGTACTGAAATTGGATAAAAACACCATGAATGTGAAAATACTACCAATTTTCTGCAGTTAAAAAAAAAAAACTAGAATGTTCTTTGGAATCACTGAAATATCAAAAAATCTGGGTTTTTTTCTACAGTCTGTGCACCTTCTTTCAGGTTCTCCGTGTTGCTTGTAGTACTGACCTGTGTGATTCTAATTTTATAGATTCAAATCTTGCAGTGCAGTATCGATGTTTAACATACTGGTGTCTCTCTGGCCGGTGGGGAGTTATGCTTAACCCAGAAACACTGTCATTTACTTTTCCATAAAGACTTCTGCCCCAAATAAAAACTTTAGAATATGACACAAAACATCCTGTGTTAAAACAATCAAATGAACCCAACATGGAGAATTCCAGCGTGGTTTCGGCATTCGGGAGGGCACTGTCTCCTACTGTTTTTCATGGAAGTACCACAGGCCTGGCTGCTAGCATTCAGCTTTCCTTGGCCTTAAAAGGAATTTCTCAGGGCTGGCAAGTTGGATTACATTCTAAGAGAATTTTGTCTTTGTCAAACTACCATTTTTAGTATAAAATCTGGCCATGGCTGTAAGTGTCAATGTGCGTACAACTGATTAGAGATGGTTTCTTTCTTTGTTTTTCTTTTCAACATTGGCTGGAATTGAGTAGAAATAAGTCCATGATGCCTCTTCACATGTGTCATGAAATATGAGAAATCTGTCTGACTCTAGACACTATTTCTTTACGACACAATGGGCAGGTCTCCAGCTGCAAGGCACAATCCATGCACAGGTCACTGAGGAGAAACACATAAAAGCCAGTCAAGTTAATGCTTGAAAAGGTCAAACTGACTACCTGCCAACTAAATCTAAAACATTAACACGTTAATTGAAAGGGTAATAATTATACATGGTTAAAAAAATGAAGTAAATATATAAATAAAAAATAAACTTCCTCCCATTTTTAACCCTCAATCTTCTTCCTCTGAGGAACAAGTAAAAAGTTTATTTGTATTCTTCCAGAAAGTCTGTATGTATACAGGATATGCATATGTACGTAGGGGACACAACGCTGTTTTTCCCAGACAGCTAGCCATTATCCCTGTATCACTTACCAAATAGTCCATCTTTCACCATAGATTTGACTCAATGCTTTTATCATATATTAAATTTTCATTTTTAGTTAAATTTTATTTCTGAGCTTTTAGTCTGTTCCATTGTCATTCCTGTCATATAGTACTGGGACCAAACTATTAACATTTATTTTAATATATTTTAAGATGTGGTAGGACTCTCTATAACTCTTATTTTTCAGAATTTTCTTGCCTTCAACTTTTAAATTAGCATGTCTTGTTCAGGGGTGGAGAGGAAATCATGTTCCCCCTTTTATGTGGATCAAATTAAGTTTAGAGAAAAATGTCACTTTTACAATATCGAGAGGTCTTCCTATCCAATAGCAGATTCATTTATTCAAGCCTTCTGTTACATTCCATGGTTGTTTAAAAGTTTTCTTCATATAGGCTCCACATATTTCTTGATATGTATTCTTAGACTGCTTGTTTTTTATTTAAAACCATTGTAAAAGAGGTCTTCAATTATATGTTCTAATTGGCTGCTATTTACACATAAAGCTAGAAGAGCTACTGATTTTTGTATATATTATAAGTTGTGGTGAGAGCAGGCATCCTGGGCTTTACCCAACATCTCTTGCTGTGCTTCCTGTGCATCACCATTAAAAAGATGCTAGCATTTGGTTGAGATATATGTGTTTTTAATACTGTTAAGGAAGTATCCATTCCTTCCTACCTAACACTGTTTTCTTCCCTCCATCCATTTTCTGTTTTATAGTATTTCGTCCATTAAGAACAGATATTGAATTTTAACAAATGCCTTTTCAGCATTCTTGGAGAAAGTGATAATTGCCCTTCTCCCACCCCCGCCTATTTGAGTAAATTTTATATTAATAGATTTCCTACACTGTACCACCCTTGCATTCCTGAGATAAGCCCCTCAGGTTGTATTGTTGGGTTTTGTTTGCTAATATTTTATTTAAGATTTTTAGATTTATACTCATAAGTAAAAAACATAGCTTTTTCTTTTCTCTGTGTTCTATTGGTTTTTGGTGTGATTACCAAGCAGGTTTTGTAAAAATAATATGGCGGTTTTCCTATTTTTTGTATGGTCTGGAGAAGTCGAAATAGAATTAGGCTACGTATTCCCTGAAAATTGTGAAGAATCTGCCTGTGAAACTTCTAGGCTTAGTTAGTATTTTTAGGAGGGAAAGCAAAGGTAGCTTTGATAACCATCTCAGTTTCTTCCGTGGTAAAAGGAATGCTTAGATTTTCAATCTCTTCTAGGGGTAGGTTCTTATAATTCATTTTATGCAGATTTCCTTTCTCTATCCCTATCCTTTTAAAATTGTTGTTGCTAAAAGTTGAGCTAAATTTTCCTATAATTCTTTTAATGTCCTCTTCCAAATCTGTTTTGGATATATATCTATTATGGAGACTATGATCATACTTAAGATATCTGGTTCTAAGGTTTTCCATTTCTGCTCTCATTAATTACCCCTTACTGTGTTTGAAACCACAGGGAAGGGCCAGAGAGCTCAAAGATGAGTAAGACCAGATCCTGCTGTTGGGATCTTAACATTCTTACAGAAACAAAGATCACAAAGGGCATCAAGATATCAAACCTTTAAACTCTGTACCTGCCTGTGAGGCCCTGATAACTAAAACCTCTAAATGTGCTCAAACTGAGAAATTTTGTGCTACAGAATTGATAGGGAGGACTAATCCAACAGGAGTCACTGTGCCTTTCCCTCAGAAGAGAGATTGATACAGCTAAGGGTGATATGGGATACATTGCATGTACTTCCCTTAACAGCCAATTAGATGACAACCCATTTCAAAAGAAAACAAATGCATAGAGGCAAAAGCAGGGGCCCAGATTGAGTCATTCCTGGGGAGACAAACTGGGTCCATCACTGCAGGCTCTGGACCCCCTGCAGAACCAGGTGGCTAAAGCTTTGTCGAAAATAAGAGCAAAGCAGGTTAGGGAATGTGATGAATTACAGGTAGCTGGCCTGTAATATCAGCATAGGTTGCTCATATACAATCAGCACACGTGGACTGGCCAGGATCCCCACATTGCCCGACTCCTCTCCCTCTCTAAACTTAGTTGGGATGGCCTTCTTGGGGACCATCTTAGCCTGCTGCTCTTGCTGATGCTTAGACTCTGTTTTGTGGGATTCGGGCTGCCCTCTGAGATCATCTCATAAGACTGAAATTCAGTTAGATAGCAATGGAGGCTGCTGCCTTCTCAATGGTTGATTGTAAATAAGAAGTAAATAAGGAAGCTCTAAAACTAAAAGGGGTTGCCCAAGACACTCATAAATAGCATTAAACCTGTTATGTTTTGTTTAGCCAAAATTGTATCAAAAATATAGTACTGAATAAACAAAATGAAACAAAAACAGAAGTCTTCCAAATCAAGTAACCTCTTCTATTTCAGGTACTTTCTGGGAGACAGCCAGGTACTGCTTTGCAAACTCTAATTCTTCATTCAGTTCATTTTAGATATAATAAACCTGGATGAACAGCTAAGGAACTAGTAATACTCCAAAAGCAATTCAAGAATAGGATGAAACTTTGCCTAATATGATATACAAAAGAGGAAAATCACCAAACAAATACTCTTACCTGTGTCCACATGGCTTCAACTGTGTGTCTGCTACCTCATCGCAACAAAGGGAGCAGCAGTTTTCTCGGATGCTGACTTGCTTCAACAGAGCAAGACGCCTGTGCCTAAGTAGAAAAAGCAGTTTGAAATTCATTTGTCAGTAAGTAAATGGGGCCTGTCAGCTGTGATGCACATGAAGTGCTTTCAAAACGCTCTGTACATGAGAGATATTCCTTCAGCATTGTTCAGTAACGTTTTCATATACGATATTTCATTTCGATCTTACAATGATTTTCTGAAGTAGGGAATGAAGGAGGCATGGTCATTCCTATTTTACAAAGACATTAAAGTTTGAGGAAATGATTTGCATAAGGTAAACAGAGTCAGGAATCAAATCTAAATTGTTTGGGTCTAAGTCCAGTGCTTTTTAAAATTTGACCAGCAAATTTCGATCTTTAAGTCACATATCTCTGAGAGTTTGATGAAATGCATAGAGGCTTTCTCAAGAAAAACACAACAGAGAAGTTTTTATACAATTTCAAGGGGTTTATGATAGTCCACTGTAAACTCCCTGCAAGTCCAGACACCTCAAGTTAGAACCCCTCCATTACACTTTCACTCAGCATAGAATGGAAAAGCAGACAGGCAGAACTGCTCTGCTGAAGGTACAGCCCTGGTGGGTGGGCTGGGGAAGCACGAAACATTCGTTCAATTCACTTAGGGCTTGCTGGGTGCCAGGCACTGTAAGATTCAGTCCTGGAGATTCAGCAGTGAATAGAGGACTAAAAAATAAAAAGTATCCCTGCCTTTAGAGCTTATACTCTAGTGGGGGGAGACAGAAACAAAATAAATAAGTAAAATATACAGAATGTTAAATAGATGAATAATATAAAGAAAAAATAAAACAGGAAGAAGGACGAGGAGTTTGTGTGTGAGAGAGGTAGGGGGTTACAATTTAAAATATGGTGGCCAAGGACATTCTCATTAGGGTGATGTTTAAGTAGAGACATTAGGGGAGTGAGGGAGTGAGCCTTGTAGATCTCTGGAGAGACCATTCTAGGTAGGAGGAACAGCAAGTGCAAAGGCCCTGAGGCTATAATAGGTCTAGTACGTTTCAGGAGCAGCAAGGAGACCAGGGTAGTTGAAAGCATGAGCAAATGGGAGCGGGTAGGAGATAATGTCAGAAAAATAATGTGGGGAAAGGACAGGACAAACTGTGTAGGGCCTGGTAGGTAGGTCACTGTAGGGGTTTAGGCTTTTCCCTGAAGTGAAATGGGAAGCCACTGGTGTCTTTTGACTAAAGAAGTGCATAATCTGACTTACATTGTAACAAAATCGTTCTGGAGGCTGTGTTGAATAGATTGAAGCGGGTCAAGGTAGGAATAGGGAGACCAGTTAGGGGGCAGGGCAAAAATAATATAGGTGGGAAATGGAGGCTTGGACCACGGTGGCAACAGCGAGGGTGAAAAGAAGTAGTTGGATTTGTAGTATATTCCAAAGGTGGGGCCCAGAGGACTTGCTGAGGGATCAGGTGTGGGAATGGCAGAAAGTAAGCTGTCAAGGATACACTAGGATTAACAGGGAAATTAGAATGAGAAAGGGGCTACTAGCAGAGATGAGGGAAGATAGTAGGAGAAGCAGTGCCTGTGAGTGGATGATGCTGCAACTGAGGTAGGTATATGGTGCTTCACTGTACTATTCTTTTTTTTCTTTTGTATGTATTTGAAATTTTCCATAATAAAAAGGTTAAGGAAAAAAAGAGTGAATGGAAGGAGGAGAATTAGAGACAGAAAACATATACTATATGAAACTATTTACAAAATCCCAGGTAGTAGTAACAGGGCCATGATCTCCTATTCTGAAGCCAGAAAGGAATACTATTCCAAAGAGTATAAAAGTATCACTAAATATAAGTTTTTGAAGCATAGATTGAAAATATTAATG